CTAGACTAAGATCTTGGCATCTGCGGGCCTAGGGGGCCGGCGGTGCGGCGTAAGCTAGTGAAACATATGTCCAAGAATTCTCGCCGACACCACAGGCAGTGGAAGGCAAGAAACTGAAGCACGCGGGCATCATTACAGACCCTCCGCACAAATCTTTCCGTCTTGCTCTGTCTGACCTGGCCAGTACCATCTTCTGAAGTAGCCTCACGGGACGAGAACTCGGAGAGGGTCGATCCCAGCCTTGGTTAAGTTTCGGCCGAACCTCTCCATGAATGACCCCCGAGCTGTGACCCGCGCGCGGCTGGCGAACTCCCACTCGTGGAAGTCAGGCCCTGCTTGCGAGCACTGTATGGCCTGCTCATCGTCACCGAGCGCGAGAACCAGCTAAGCCCAAAAGGGAGAGGCGGTTAGGCTCTCCTCGCTCCCGCCATCTGTGTTCGCCAGCGGTGCTAGGTGCCCATCGGCGCCTCCAGGCCACTTTCTCTGGCGCTTGCCGAGGAGAAGTGCAAATCTCCCAAGCCAGAGAACGACCTCTGGCCCCTCCTCCTGCTCGGGCGCGGCCATATCTGCGAACGCACGGATCAATGCAATGCATCCGTGGACCTCTTGATCTTTGCCACATGAGGAACGAAATCCAAGTGAACAGGGCACGCCGAAGTTGAATTGAACCCCAACTCCGCGGGAGCAGCCCCCCTCGGTGCATCAATCTTTGACTGGAAGACTGTTGGTTGGCGGGGGGGCAGGCGGTAAGCAGCAAACATGGGGCGGGGGAGCTCGGCGTCGGTTCCAGACATCCCCCAATGCAATCGGACCCAGGACTGAAGAACATCCCACAAGAACACGAGGCCATCCGCCGGCCAAAACAACCCAAACCATACGATCACTCGAGAATCTCATCCCCCGGGTTGCCCCCAAAACATCCCACAAACTGTTTTTTTTTTTTTTGCGTCGGCGGCTAGGCAGAGAAACTGCGCTGGCGGAGAGCTAACTAAACGGGGGTGCCGTTGTAGCGAAGTGCGCCACCATGCAGGAGAAGGGGGCAGGGCAGAGGAAGCGGCCGAAGGAGGGGGCGGGAAGGGAGCGAGGCCTCTCAGGGGGACGGGTCACGCCCTGAGCGCGTGGAACATCCCACAAACACGAAGAACAATAGGTTGCCCTCCACGAGCCGACCTCGATCTTGTACCTCGGTCCGGCTGTCTGATTTTTTGTTCAATCCGCGACCCCCCAGCAGCTCCCGACTCCTGCCCCTGGGGGTAGTGCCTCGCCCCGTGGATCCCATGCTGGTGGCCCCGAGGCCCGAAAGACGGGCCCCAGAGGTCTAGATCGAGGGACGCGGCCCAGATCGAACAAATCTTATCGTCGCTGGCGGCCCGCTCAAGCCGCCGCGTTAGGCCGCTATGCAATCTCGCGTAGGGCCCGCTCTTGATCGTGGAAAAAAACGCAGCGTGCCGCGCTCGCGTCCCGCGTAAGCTGTGGCGTAAGGCCGCTGTGCCATCTCGCGTGAGGCCCGCTGTTGAGAGCCGCTCGCGTGGTCGCCCAGCTTCCCCGAGCTGTTTCGGGGCCCCTGCCATCGAGGCGGAGCCCAGAGATCCGGGGTTCCCAGTCCCAGCTCTCATTGGCCATGCCGCGGAGAACCCACGAGCTGGCCTGGCAGGGCCGTCCTGCCACACCGCCCGAGCGGCAACGGACCCCCCCAGGGCCGCCGGCGCAGCGATGAGAGGGTCGGGGGGTGGGCGATTCAGCACCGCATTCGCGCGAGGCTCTGGCGGAGAATCAGGACCCTCTGGCGCCCACCTCGAGCGGAAAGAACGCAGAGGCGCGTTTGTACTCCGTTTCGGCTCGGAACGTAACAACAAACAGAAGTGGGCGACGACAAGGCGGCCGATGACGAGGATGACGGCGTGGATGGCGGGGAGAGTAGCGAAGCTCTGGCCGGAGAGTCTGGACCTTCTGGCGCCAATCCGCCGGTGCCCGTGGTGCCGTGCAGTCACCAGGCATTCGAATGCAACTGTCGACCTCTTGACTTGTGCCCTGGCAAATGTTGAGCTTGTCTGGACGAGGCGTACCGAAAATAAACTGAAGCCCAACTCCACAAGAACGGCCCCTCGGTGTACCAGCTTTTGACGACAAGAGGGGGGGGGGGGCCTGTGCTGGGTGCGGGCGGCAAACAAACAAACGCAAACTAGAAAACGGACAACGGAAAACGGAAACCGGAAAACGGAAAACGGAACCCAAAAACCGGAAGGCGAAAAATAGAAACTGGAAAACGGAAACCGGAAAACGGAACTTCGCTTTTTGGCCCAAGCGGGAAACCGGAAAACGGAAAGCGGAAAACGGAAACTGGAAAGCGGAAACCGGAAACCAGAAAACGGAAACCGGAAAACGGAATTTGGTTTTCTGCCAAAGCCGGAAAACGGAAACCAAAAACCGGAAAACGGAAACCGGAAAACGGAAAACCGGAAACCGGAAAACGGAAAACGGAAACCGGAAAACGGAACTTCGTTTTCTGCCCAAACCGGAAAACGGGAAACGGAAACCGGAGACCGGAAAACGGAAAACAGAAACCGGAAACCGGAAAACGGAAACCCGAAAAAAGAAAACGGAAAACGCAACTTCGTTTTCTGCCCAAACCGGAAAACGGGAAACGGAAACCGGAAACCGGAAAACAGAAAACAGAAACCGGAAACCCGAAAAAAAGAAAACGGAAAACGCAACTTCGCTTTCTGCCCAGACCGGAAACCGGAAAACGGAAACCATGGAACGGAAACCGGAAGACGGAAACCGGAAAACGGAAAACGGATTTTCGTTTTCTGCTCCAGGGTTCTGTTTTCCGTTTCCGTTCCGGTCCGGCGCGCCTGCTGACCGGAATCATCTGCGGTGGTGTTCTGGTCTTCGGAGCCTCTTCGGCCATCTTGGGGGCCTCTGGGGCTGTCTTGGGGCCCTCTGGGGCCGTTGTGGGCGCTCTTGGAGGCCTCTTGGGCCTTGCTGGGGCGATCCTGAAAGCCTCTTGTGCCGTCTTGGAGCGCCAGTAAGCCCCCAAGGCGAGAACGCCAAAACCCTTCAAACATTGAAGGAAAATCGCAAATTTCTGCCTCTGTGGAGCCTCTTGGGAGGTCTCTTGAGGGCTCTTGGGGGTCTCTTGGGGCCTCTCGGGGGCCTCCTGGGGGCCTCTTGGGGCCTGAACCTCTCTGCGCCTGGACCTCGAAATGTCCGCTCGGGTCGTTCGTCTGGGTCCGCCCTTGGAGCCGTCTTGGGAGCCTCTTCGGCCATCTGGGAAGCCTCCGGGGCTGTCTTGGGGCCCTCTGGGGCAGTTGTGAGCGCTGTTGGAGGCCTCTTGGGCTGTTTTGGGGCGATCCTGGAAGCCTCTTGGGCCGTTGTGGAGCGCCGGGAAGCTCCCAGGGCGAGAACGCCAAAAACCTTCAAACAATGAAAAGGAAATTGCTAATTTCTGCCTCTGTGGAGGCTCTTGGGAGGTCTCTTGGGGCCTCTTGGGTTGGGGGTCTCTTGGGGCCTCTCGGGGGCCTCTTGGGGGCTTTCTGGGGGCCTCTTGGGGCCTCCAGAAAACCAAAACCCTTCAAAAACTACAGTAAAATTACTAATTGCTGCCTGTGTGGGCCCTCTTGGGAGGTCTCTTGGAAGCCTCTGGGGGAATCTTGCAGGCGCTCTGGGCTGTCTGGAAGCCATTTTTGGTGTCTTCAATCGCTCTTTGGCCGTCTCGGCCATGTTGGACTCTCCCAGAGGCCACTTGAAGCGCTGCTGGAACGCTCTTGGGAGCCTGCTGGGAACTGGCCGGGACCCGGCCTGGACCTGGCCACGACTTGCGGGGGTACTTTTCGTCCGGTGACCCCTGGTGCGGCCCCGCGCGCGCGGATAGGAATATTGTTAACCAGTCCCCGGAGATCTTAGCACGCCCTTGGCCCGTTGGGCCTGCGAATTTGACGCGGATCGTGCCCCCCTAGCACGCGCGCAAGGGCGCGCGAATGATGTCGGCATGCGGCGCGAGAGGCCCGTTTGGCAGAATTCCACGAACATGTTGCAACAAGTATGGTTTTCTCTAGAATTCGGAAGAGCGCGAGCGCACGTTTTTGTTTGTTTGTTTGTTTGTTTGTTTGTTTGTTTGTTATTTTTAGTTTTTTGTTTGTTTGTGATGTTGCGAAACCATTTTTTAAACAAAAAACACAAACATAAAAACAACTCTCGGTTTTGGAATCGCTGCGAAACCGCAAGTTTTTGACGGATTTCGGCATGCTCGCGCGACGACGCGCGCGCGTGCACTTTGTCATCCTTTTGCAAAAGGAACAATTTCGACAAGCGCGCGCTTTTCCCGTTTGGTAGGATTTTCTGAACATGTTGAACAACCTACGGTGCCCTTAAAAATGCGCAAAAGCGCGCAAGCTTGTTTTGAACATCCATGTTGCGAAGCCCTTTGTTTTTACATGTTTTTTTGGACGCTCGCCTTTGAAATCTTTACGAAACTAAGAGTTTTCGAAAGATTTCGGCATGCGCGCCCGACGACGCGCGCCTGTGCAATTCGTCAAATCTTCAAGTTTTTCTGTTGAAAACATAGGATGTTTGGTACATGGGTGCGCGCGCATATGATTTGTTGCACAGGATGGCGGGGGGGCCGATACCGGCGCGGCTAGGATGGTATGAACTCATAAGCCGAATGGACGATGGACGATGATGTCGGCATGCGGCGCGACCGACGCGGCCGCGGTGGCGCTGACCGCTGGGCACTTTCCAGCGGGCGCTTGAGTGCGAGTCGGTGGCGTGGGCGGGCGCGGTATAATGGCGACGCCGACAGCAGTAGACACGATGATGAGAGTAGCGATGATGGTGACGATGGTGGCGATGACGACGGCAAGGTCCATGACGGCGCCGATGTTGATCACGTTCGCCGGTAACGATTACGATGTCCTCGCGTCGGTGTGAAGTTTTTGGAAGGAGTTCGACATGCGCGCGCGGCCGACTCGCGCGAGTGGCCCGCGTGGTTTTATTTTGCACGGATCGTGCCCCTCCACCGCGCGCGCACGGGCGTTCGGATGAGTTCGACATGGGGCACGAGAGGCCCGTGTGACAGAGCGAGCTAGACAGTGCTTCCGAGGGCCTTGCAGAAGTTAACCATCGGGGCGACCCCGATGCCCGCGCTAAGGAACACGCTGGGCTCAGTGGAAGACTCGAGGGTGAAGATGCCGAACGGGGCCGTGAGCTGGACTTTCTCTCCAACCATGAGCTTCTCGTGCAAGTGCGTGGAAGCCTCAACCCCTTGAATCTTCTTGGCCGTGCACAGCAAGAAATCGACGCCAGGCGGCGACGTTACCGTGTAGTGACGCTTGGCGGTGAAACCGGCGCCCTCTGGGTCAACCTTCAGAATGAATTACTGGCCCTCTGTGAACTCGAATGCCCGCCCGAAGATCTGCGAGCAGCGCGGCGGTTTGAAGGAGCAGCTCTTGATGTCCTGCGCTAGGTTCTTGATGTCGGCCACTTCAAAAGTCTCCAGGCCGGACCGACCACCCGAACGCTTCTCTGCCATCTGGTAAAAGGGGCTCTTCTGTGTCGATGCGTGCCTTCGCAAGGAAGTAGACTGCCTCACTCCAGGCTTCTCCAATCTAAGGCGTGACAGCCTCCCCGAAGATCTTGCCCACCGCCGCCATCATATTGTCATGCACGACGGGGTACTGCGGGGATCAATGCAAAACGCACAATGCCTGTGACAGACTGCCGCCACCGGCCCTTTGGGCACCAGCAGTGGGGACAAGTCTTGTATGTTGCTTGCGTAAGCGACGATCGTGGCGGCCAGCGCATGCGGCTGGGGAGTTGAGTTGGGCACGTTGTGCGCGGAGTTGAAGTAGGCGAGCAGCTCGCGGTTCTCCTTGAACATGCCGCTGTAAAACATCTTCGTGATGTCCTCGGCCTTCGGGGCCACCACAGGCGCGGTCGCCGCAATGATGTCCGCTGTCTCGGGCTTCATCACCGCGGGGAGACCCGTGTCTTCACTCCCGCGCGCTGGGCCCAGCGTGGTCTGCTGCTTCCTCTAGAGAGATCGCGATAGTCCTCCTGGGACTGAGCAGGAGCACGGCAAGGCCACCGAGCCTCACCATCCTCTTGCGGGTGGTCTCCAGCAGCCTCCCGACACACGAGGAGATGGGCCCGAGGATCGCTGCAGCGGGCCCAGTACCAGGGGGAGGAAACTTAGTCGAGTTGGTATGCCGGTGCTGGTACTCAATGCTGCAGTGGACCTGCAATGCCGCAAGCACGATAAATGGCTTTGCCGAACTCCTGGACGCTTAGATGCGCGGGCCAACACCGGCTTGAGCCAAAACGATCACGAATGGAGAACGATGAGGATAAGGACGGCGGGCGAGGAAGGGGCGATGTGGGTGGGCAGGTGAGGGGATCCTCCTCCTCTTTCTCTTCCTCCTCCCCCTCCTCCCCATCTTCCGCCTCCAGGTTCTCGCGCGGCTGCATGCCAGCTGTCTTGGGGCCGTTGGACGTTGGGCCCTCGCGCGGCCCTTTCGGAGCTGCCTCCGGCGTCTCTCGGCCCCTGGTGCGATCGTCGTGGGGCCCGCATATGGCCGAACCGGAGACCCCGAACCTACACATGTTGGCGTCTCGCCCATGCTCCCGCTGCCTTCCGCCGACCTTCTGTCAGCGTCGACCTTCTGTCGGCGTCCGCCAGCGGACCCGCCGCCGCATTGCTTCCGCCGGCCTTCCGCCGAGGGCGAGGGTGCGCCGAAGGCGAGGCCCTCTCTGAGAGCGCGCCGTGCTGGAACCCTCCTGGGGCATCTCTTGCTGCACCTGGGGCTACATCAGGGCGATCTTGGGCCCTCTCGGGGTCTGGTGTGAGCGTCCAAATTTTCTTTTTCGGGTCGTCTTGGGCGGTCTCAATGCCCTGTTGGACCAGCCGGCACATTCCAAGGCGCCCCCCCGCCCTCTTCTCCCTTGCCCCTTACCCTCTGCTCTCTCTATCGCTCTCTTTTTCTCTCCCTCTCACTCTGAGTGCCTCTACCATTTCCGTACATCAGATCCGTTCGCACATGCGCCGACATGTACTCGCTGGCAGCATGCATACGGCCCCGAATCTCGCCCTGGCGCCTGACAGCAGAATGGCGTGATCGGCCTTCTGCAGGATCTGCACCGCTGCCTTCGTGCGCTTCGCGCTCCACCTCGGTACAGGGTGATGGCAAACATAGTCAACATCGAATCGGAAAATCGGATCACATCGGAACTAACGCCAGATCGGGCTGCATCGGCACAGAGTCGGAATCGGATCGAATCGGCCTCGCCAGTGGGCGACCATCGTCGTCCACTGCAGGTCGGCCAGCACCGCAAGGTGGAGAATAATGGTGCCAAGCAAACTCAGGAAAGGGCTGCTGGCCTGCTCGGAGGGCGGCCCGCACACCTCGGATTGGCTGTACTGAGGCCGCCGCTCCTTGATGTTGTGCGACTCGTCGCAGATCACCAACTGGTGCGGATTTCCGCACGGTCGCGACATGTACTTTGCTCCAGATGCGGCCGCCAACAAATTGTACGAGATCACCCAGACGGCGGCGTCCTCACGGAAGCTTTCCTTGCCCGACTTGATGACCTGGAACACAAAAGCACATAGCAACAACACTTACCGGCACTGTTGTTTCGAACGACGGGTTCCTCGGCGGGAGGCACGATGGCCGTCCGATATCTAACCCTTGTTGCTCACATGTGGTCAAGCAGCAGGTCACTCCGAGGAGGTCTACGCTGTCCCCACTGTTCGATTCTTCAAAAATTGAAATCATCACCGAATGTAGTGCCTCCAGGAATACCTCTCAACTACTTGCCCTTGGTTTCGGGAAGGAACTAAGCGAAGCGTAATATTGATGCATATTTCCTCAAGTAAGATGCACACCGGTGTGGTGTTCACTCCTTGATCGTCACTGTGGAAGAAAAACCTGTGCTCGCACTCTTAGCACGGTTGCGAGCATCACGGTATGTCAGGACATCAGCTACACTCTCATTCAAAATCAGCGTGCCCCTTTTTTCAAAACCGAACTTTCAGGCACTCCGGATCTCAACGACAGTTGGGGGCCACGCAACCAGGGGTGCAGCAATACTTTGCGTGACCTCTGCACCACGCCACGCAACGCGGAGTCTGGGAAACAACGAATTGAGTGGCATACCACTCTGGAACCGTCTGGGAAGCCTCTTGAAGGCATGTTTGAGGCCTCTTGGAACCTCTTTGGACTTTTGGGGGGCCTCTTGAGAGCGTCTTGGGCGCTGTAGGGAACTCGCGGTTTCGAGGGCCCCTCAGGGGGTGCGGGTCCCCCTCTGGGAGCTGCTGGGGCAGTGGCGGGAGCGACGGAGTAAGGGATGGGCTGCTGCTTTTTCCGTCTGACGCACGCCCACGTCCATGCTTGAGCTGTCCATTCTTCAGCTGTCGGGCGCGCGCTCACTTTTGAGAGAAGGGCGTGAGGAGGACAAATAGAGGGCGGCAGCAAGTACGTGTCGAAGGAAGAAACCGCCACCCCGTCGCGCTGAGGACCCCGTGGTGCCTCGCGCGTGGCATGGGGCATAACGGCCCTGCCCGCCAACGGACGGGCCAAACCCCAACCGAAGGCTGGGGGTACGCTCGGAACCGGGGGAGGACTGCGGTCGTCCTCAAGGGGGGGCTGTTGTGAAGCTGCATAGTGCCTTTGGTGGATGGGTTGTGGCTCGGCAGTGAGGTTCGGGTGGATCCTGTCTGACTGCTCGCCCAGCCGCTGGTTTCAGCGGTGTCAGGAAATATTACTCGTATACTCGGGTCGGCCTGCACTCTCCACTGTAAAGCTCCGTGCGCAGCGAAAGTGATTCCCATAAGTACAACTGTGTTGCAACATGCGCTATGCCATTCATTAGTTTTGTCAATTTTCTCGTCGCACATAGTGTTGGGACGATTTGTTTGTTCTCTCCTCCCGCCGTTCATGGAGCCATTCTTCACATGTATGGGCATTATCTCGTCATTAGCTCGTGGCTCAATGTATGCGGGCCAGCTGCATGAGCTTTTTGGTGATTATGAGTCGCCTTTGGTCGAAGAGCCTGAGATAACGGTGAACGCAAAGGGTGCAGGTCGGGTCGTGAAGTTTGACTACGTGGCACATGGCTTCCTGTTCTGAGCGGGGGGGCACCGATTTAATATGGTAGGCAAGTTTCGGGCAAGGGATCTCTCAAAGGACCACATGGGCTTCATATCCCAGGATCCTGAGGCAGGTTGGCGCAGCCCTGGCGTTCGAGAGTGTGCGGTGAGTTCGATTGCTTCGCTAGGATCACACTCGTGATGGCGTACGCTCCACTCCACTCCACTCCACTCCACTGCACTGCACTGCACTGCACTGCACTGCACTGCACTCCACTCCACTCCACTCCACTCCACTCCACTCCGCTCCGCTCCGCTCCGCTCCACTCCTTCTCCTCCTGTTCCTCCTGCTCCTCCCCCTCCTCCTCCACTTACTCCTCTTACTCCTCCTCCTCCTCCTCCTCCTCCTCCTCCTCCTCTTCCTCCTTCCCCTCCTCCTCCTCCTCCCCCGTCTCCTCCTCCTCCTCCTCCTCCTCCTCCTCCTCCTCCTCCTCCTCCTCCCCCGCGGGGTGGGTGGGGAGCCGTCGGGCTGGCCCCCGGTCCGGAACTCGAGGGAGGAAGGGAAGGACAGGATGGGGGGGGGGGGCGGCCTGCACGCGGCCGTCCCCGCACAGGTCGGGCAGCCACCGCCCGGCCTGCTCCTTCCACACGAAGCGCAGGGAGGAGGGGCAGATGACGAGGACGGGCCACTCCTTGGGGCAGGCGCGGGGCCGAGAGGAGGCGCAGTGGGCTCTGCACAGGGGGCGGCCCTGGGCAGGAGCGGCTCTCGGTGCCCGGCGCTCGAGGGGGCCGCGAGGGTCCCAAGGCTGGGGGCCCAGGTGCAGGCCAGAGCTGGGGGGGCTCCTGAGGGTACGCACCGAAAATCACTCGGAGGGTCGCCCCTTCGCGTAGTAGAGCGAAGCCGACGAAGGCCAGCAAGTCAAGACGGAAGGCCCCTGGACGAGGACTGCGTGTTGAGAGGGAGGGGGATCCGTCTCTGACCAGAACAAGGCAACAGGCATACGTAGGAAAACGATTATGCTGAGTACGATGATGGGGTTGGTGATGAGGAGGAGGATAAGGATAAGGATAAGGATAAGGATGAGGATGAGGATGAGGATGATGATGATGATGATGATGATGATGATGATGATGATGATGATGATGATGATGATGATGATGATGCTGGTGATGATGCTGATGATGCTGGTGGTGATGCTGGTGGTGATGATACTGATTTTGCTGCCGATGATGTTGCTGCTGATGGTAAGGGTGACGCTGAAGATGACCGCGATGACGATCATGATAGCACCAGTGATTAGAATGATGACCATCACGATGAAGATGATGGTGCTGATCATGATGACGACACTGATGAGACTTGTGATGCTGATGATGATGACGATGACGATGCTGACGCTGCTCCTGCTGCGCTAATGATGATGTAGCAGTGGTGCGGTGCAACCGCTGGCCGAAGCTCGGCCCACTTCGCCCCGACCGCTGGCGGAACGGGCAGAGGCCGTGCCCCCGAACATCTCCACGCAAGCCAACGCCCGTCCAGAGGCGGCGCAAACAACGACGCACACTTCGCCGGACCTGGGGGCCGACCGACGCATCATTCGAACTCCGAGGGGGCTTCCCGTCGGAAGCTGCACGGCGCACGAAGCAGAACCACAACTGCTGCCATGGCGCTCTGAGGGCATACGTTCTGGGCACATCCGTGGCACTCCCACTCGCCATCAGCTCATGGAAAATGGGCGACCCGCACACACCGGCCCGGCCCGGCCATTCCGCCTCGACCTACAAGAACTGCGCCGAGGGACCGCGCTGACGACCTCTGAACTCCGCCTAGGCCGCGAACCCGCACGACCCTAAGAGCACTGCAATTCGACTTCCCCTCCTCCGTCGCCTCTTCCAGGTCGCCCTCGCTCAGCGCTCGAATGTGATATTCCTCCGATTCTCTCTCTTGTCCCCGTCGCTACCATCCACTCCGAGGGCTGCCGCGCACGCGGGGTCCTCGTGGTCGCCCACCGCGTCTTCCACCAAGGCGACGGTTTCGACCGCGGCGGCCACCAGCGATAGTAATGAGGCGCGCTTTATCAGCTTCTCCTCGACCTTAGGGCCTCCCCCTCGCATTGCATATCGGGCTTGACGCTGCCCTCCACCGCGGCGCCCCTGGTCGGAACAGTCCCGCCGCCGATCCCGGCTGACTCGCCGAAGTTCGAGGCGTGGTACTCCGCCTGGCTTATGGGGTTTACGTAGCTCTCCAGCTCCTGCTGCTCGCCCTTGAACTCAACCTCCGAAATCTGGGTCCCGTCATCCCTGCCGCCGATCTCCTTGTGACCGAGACAAGGCCCGTGCTGGTCGCGCCGCGGCGCCACGGGGCTGGCGGAAACCAGCGGGGTGGGGATCACCTTCGCATGCAGCGCGACGTTGCGCCTCCGCTTGGTGATGCCGCTCCCGTTCTCGGAGACCATGAGCTCCCACTGCGCTGGGGCAGCAGCTGCCAGCCTCTCTGCCAGTTCGCCATCGCCCAAGCACGCCGCCAGCTGGACGTAGCGACTCCTCCAGAGCTGTGCCTCACGGCGGAAATCCTGCTGCAGCGGCTCCGACGACCAACGCGCCCACCGCTGGGCAGCGCGGCGCTCTGCCGAGAGTCTTCAGCCTCCGAGCGGGCGGTGTGCCGTGGCCACCCGCTCGGCGGCCGCCCGTGCCATCGCAAGCGCCACAGCCGCGCAGGAGGGGATATAGACAGAGCCGCTCTCTCCTACGAAGGGGAGGGACACGGCGCGCACCTCGCCCACCCTGGCGCCCAAGGCAGCCTTGAGCCCAAATGGCCACGGATGATGCTGCTGCTGCTGGTGATACTGATGATGTTGATGATGATGATGCCGATGCTGCCGATTCTGATGATGATGGTGGCTACGATAATGATGCTACTGCTGATGATGTTCAGCAGTAGTAGTAATAGTAGTAGTAGTCGTAGTAGTAGTAGTCGTCGTCGTCGTCGTCGTCGTCGTCGTCGTCGTCGTCGTAGTCGTAGTCGTAGTCGTAGTCGTAGTCGTAGTCGTAGTCGTAGTCGTAGTCGTAGTAGTAGTAGTAGTAGTAGTAGTAGTAGTAGTAGTAGTAGTAGTAGTAAGTAGTAGTAGTAGTAGTAGTAGTAGTAGTAGTAGTAGTAGTAGTAGTAGTAGTAGTAGTAGTAGTAGTAGTAGTAGTAGTAGTAGTAGTAGTAGTAGTAGTAGTAGTAGTAGTAGTAGTAGTAGTAGTAGTAGTAGTAGTAGTAGTAGTAGTAGTAGTAGTAGTAGTAGTAGTAGTAGTAGTAGTAGTAGTAGTAGTAGTAGTAGTAGTAGTAGTAGTAGTAGTAGTGGTGGTGGTGGTGGTGGTGGTGGTGGTAGTAGTAGTAGTAGTACGCATGCGTGTGCCGCGCGCTCAGTTTTCCAGCGCCCTCGTCACCCTCAAGGGTCTGTGCGCGTCCATGCGACGAGCCCTACACGGACTCACTGCATGAACGTGCTGGTGGCGCCAGCACGAACAACGTGCGACGGAAGCCACCCAGCGCAGGGCCCGCGCCCAGCGGCAAAGCTCAGCACTCCGCGCGCTGACGGCCAAGACCAAAGGGTCCAGACCGTTACGGCGAGCCCGCCCCTCCGGGGAACGCTCGCCGTCGCCGCACAGGGCACAGCCTCAAGAGGCATGGGTGCCCAACGCGCGGCCCTCGCCGTAACGCGTGTGGCGTGGAGGCTGGGCGGCCCATGCCGACCACCTCCAGGCAGGGCCTCAAGAAGCCACGCCTCTGACCAATGACCCGCTTGCGATTTCCTCCCCCGCCTGCCTGGAGGAGAGCCAATGCCGCGCACAGCACCCATCCCATGCCTCCCTAGAGGTGGGTGGGCGGGGCGGCAGCGAGACTGGCCAGGAGACGCTTGCAGCGCTGCACGCGCTGCAATGCATCGTCAGCCAGTGCCGCCGCTACACCATCAGACACCGCCTGGGCCTGGTTGATGTAGATTTTGGCAGTCTTGGCCTGCTCCCACCGCCCTAAAGAGTGCGTGGCATCGAGGGAGGCGTACTTAGCAAAATGCCATGTTGCACCCCCACGTCGAAGACAATAAGGTGTAAATGAAAGGTCGTCTATACCGAAATCCCCGGCATACTTCCTGATCGCGCTCGCAAGGTCACGGAAAGTACCTGGACCCGGTCATTAGGTGGTATACTCCGCAATGTTCGAGAAATGAGGCGTACCGCGAGCGGGTCATGCAACGACGCGCACTCGTCGAAGCCCTTCCTTTGAGACCCCTTCGAACCTGGCAGACTAATCACACACACGCACACACACACACACCTTGTCGGCGATGACCTTGACCTGCTTTGGGGTGAGAGTCACCAGCTTGCCAGTACGGAGAAGACCAAGAAACCCGACCAGGAATATGACAGCGACGCGGTCCTCGCTGCAGGCGAAAGCCACACCAACCATCCCAACCAGGGCGTCGGCTGGAATAGGTAACGCCCGCCGCCGCTTCAGCCCTCGGCCCCAATACGAGCAATACAGCTTCGCCGTGTCCACGTGCTTCCGGCAGCTGGGGAGAAGCCGGCGGAGGCCGGACACGAATTCTTGCACGTGCCCGTGCGGTTCGCCTTCCATGTAAAGATGGTTGACGTACTCCGCAGCAGCTGAATCGAGATGGGCCATGCTATCTGGCAGCTGGAGACCACGCACATGCAAATAGTTGAAGAAATTGCTCACTTGCTTCCTATAGCGTAGAAGTGTTCGATCAGTAATACCCTCGTACTTGATATGCGCACGCTTGGTCCGCCTGGACCGGCAACGCGCGTTACCCATCAGTGCCGCGATGCAGCCGGCTTGCTGCGTCAGAGTAGTTCCAATGTCTGACGGTCCACAGCGTGAGCACGTACGAGTTGGTAGCGAGAGCGTACGCCAAGAACCGCCTCGAGATGCGGTTCAGGACCTTCGAGCTGCTACGCCCTTGGGCCGCGACGCAAGCAAAGACCCGACTGTCGAACACATGGAAGTAACGTTTATTGAGGAAGCTGAGCGAGTCCGCTAAAGAACGGACATACATTAAAAAGGCTGTGAATTCGAGAACGTTGATGTGCTGTTCCTGGCGCCATGGGTACGCCTGGACTGTTTTCCATTTCCAGGCGCACGCGGGGTAAGGAAGGTCTTGCCGACACCCGTCGATGAGCTCCTCCGTGGAAAGGCGCACGTCCGACCCTCTGTAATTCGCCTCGCGGAGAAGACACCTTCATATGCCGAAGCCCGTCAATGAGCGCGCGCGCTGCTGCCGAAATCCCCGGCTCCTCGGACAGCCTCGCAGTGCTGCGACGCAACTCGCGCCGCAACGAACCTTCGCGGAGGGATGGGGCGGCTGGTAACTGCTTCAGGTGACGCGCCTGAAGGGTATCGGCAATAATCGCGCTAACGAATGCGCACCACGCTCTGTGCCAATCGGTGGGTAATGGAGGTCGGCGTTGCCACGTAGATACCAATGCGCGGTGAAGAGCAGTCGAACAATCCAGCACGTAAAGTCCAAACTCAGCGGATCCACCCCACCAGGAGGCGCAGACTGTGTCCAAGAAGACGCCGTTCAACCGCTGCACCGCCGAGACCAAAGGCACCTGGGCTACCCAAGACTCCCTGGGCAGCTCGATAGCGCCCAGGCGCCCGTTGGCCAGCTGAGCCTCCAGAAGGCGCGCTGCCGATTTAACAGAAGCGTTGCCTTTGGCGATCCTGCTCCGCAAGCGTTGGGGCAGGTGCGGCCGACCCTGTGGGTGGGCCTCGTCGCGGAGGGCGCGCCCATGCGCGCTCTGCGCCTGGGGCTCCAGAGCACCTGAACACCAATGCATCCACGCTGCCTCTGGCAGACCGCGGCGGCTGGTCAGACTGACCGCCGGCGGAAACTGTGACAAGCGTTGCGCGCCGAACACGGGCATGACCGGCACGCCATGCTTCCCTACCTCCCACGCCAGCCAGTCACGCGAGGCTGCGGCGACGTACACCGCGCAAGCGGGGAGCCCATGGCACTCCGCGCCGCAGCTCCCGCGATGCCTCAGGAGGCAACCGAGCCTGCAAGTTAGCGCGCTGCATCCCAAGATGCAGCACCTGCCGGCGTCGGCCGGCAGAGGGCCTCCGCAGGTTGCGCACACGGCTGCTCGGCGCGGAGCATCGCAACTTTGCCTTGCCTCCTCGACGAGGCCTGCAACGACATCCTCTGCGAGACCCTCCGCTTCACCGTCCAGCGCGTCGACGAACTCAGTAGCCTCGCAGGCTCCGCCTCTGGCTGATGACGCATCAGAACAGCTGATTGTCCGCCGGATTTCGGCGCGCAAGTCCGTGAACATGAACGGAATTAGAAGCGTCGCGAGCAGCACTTCGTCCAAGTGCTCCATGTTGGGCTCCGCGACGCCTGGCCCTGCGGAGACAGTAAGAGTGAACGCCTCTTGGAGGGCCGCAGAAACAGGGCGGCGGAAGGAGGCCCCAAGGCAAAAACAACCAAGCCAATGCTGAAGAGCACCGCCACTCCACTGCGGCATGCCCGAAAGCACGCCACCCTTGAACGCAAGAGCAGCGCTTTTGTCACGACCGTGCGACAACCAGCCGCGAAACCCGTCGAGCTCTCCACCGAGCAGGGCCCCATGCGCTGCACATGCAACGCTTTTTTTACAGAATTGAACGGCAAGTTCAACCGCCGGCAGGCCGCCAGAAAACGCTCGTGCCCCGGGCTCTCGCCCGGGCCACCTGCCCACCTAGCGGCGGCCGCCGCTTTGCGCAAGTAGTCAACGCCGTCCATGCACGCGACGGTGAAGTCTGGACAGGGGGGCACGACGCAATCCTTATTCAACTCAGTGCTGGCGGCCCCGCAAGTTTCAAAAACAACCTTCCGTGCCATGTACTGCATAACATCGACCGCACCGAGCCAGCCCATGGGAACCGCTTGTATAGCGACATACATCATTTCCGAAGCTGGCCCGCCAATGACGCTACGTGAGACCTGCTTGCTAAATGCAAACGTACCCCTCCACGCAGGAGGCATGCGAAACATATTGAAACAAGACTCCATGTCCTCCGAATCGATCCACATGTCTTCTCCAGGCTGCAACTCGACGAGGCTGAGCTGACCCAGGTAAGGTAGATCACTACTGCCTCCACGCAGCCTGCGGAGGAACGAGTTCGAAGGCACGAGGATGGAGATAAAGCGCAGACAAGTCCCGCTTCTTGGACGCGACCTCGCCGCCGTAACCCGCGCGACGAGCCTCGAGGTCATCGCGGACAGTTGCAGGATCAACCGCCTGCGGCGAGCCGCTATGCATGAATCCCACGGACTCCACGATGCGCTCAATGACGCCGCGCTGCCCACGCGACAGCGAGGCAAAGGCGCGGAGACAGACAGGCCTCCGGCACCACCCCGCGCGTGCGAGGAAATTGAGGGCGTGCACGGCGAGCACGCCCCGCGCCTCGATGCCGGGGCTGCGGCCGCCATGTCGCTTGCCGACGGCCTCGCGCAAAACCTCTTCTGCAGCGAGCGGCTCGATCGGGAGTAGCTCGCGCCACTTCGCGCTCGGCGGGTCGCCGGAAGCGTGGGCGCTGGAAATCAAGGAGTCTGCCACGAAAGCAATCCGCGAAGGGGTGGAGCGACATGCCGCAAGCAGGCAGAGGCCCAACTCAGGCACACTCTGGCAGCCCGAAACGCAAGCCTGCATGGCATCTCGCCGCGCGGCCTCGTGTGGCAGCAGCAGGAGCAAACGAATGTTTTGCCTTGAGCCACAGGTACGGACACAAGCGCACTCTGTCAAAGATCCCCTGGATGAAACATCACGCTAAACCTATTCGTGAAAATCTAGACCCTTGTCACACGGGTCAGAATTTCTCCTAGGTTTAGCACCCTTAAATATCGGCTAGGATAAGCCACAGTGCGCTGTCCTGCACCCAGAACAGTAGCGTACTCGACCCCTGCTTCGAGACGCTCAAACAAAAGAAACAAAGCGGAGAACATTAAGAGGCTGAAACGGCGATGGCAGACAGAGCGGAGATTACTGAAAGACAGATGCCTGCAAGTCGGCGGGAGCGGTCGGGGAGGGGGAGAGAGGAGAGGTCGGGAAACCACCACCACCGTCACCGGGCTCCTCCAGCGACACCGACTGGACGAGAAACTCCTTCCACGACAACATAGCCAATGCACGACGGGAAGCTGCCTGCGACCTGTCCTTGAGCTCAGGCTGGTCCTTCCTCCTCATCACCTCCTCCTCCTCGTCGATGAGACACAGACGACCATGCGACATCAGGTCGAACAACGCTGCGTTGCTCTTGGTGATATCGTCCTTCGTGAGCGAGTCGACGGGCATACGCCCGTGGGGAATCCACCGAACTCTTCCTTGAGCCCGCTCCAGCGATTCACTGATGATCGCCAGATCTAGAGCTGTGCGCCGGTCTCTGGCGCTGGCGTTGCCCTCTTTCTGCATGGTATCGTAGATCGACTTCGCGTCCACGACGTGCACCTGTCTCTCTCTAGAGCCCAAGCGGCAGTCCCGCCGAAGGACCGTAGTGAAGGGTCCCGCGGCTCGGAGGCAGTCGGGAACGTCCACGTCGCGAAACACCACATCGCGGTAGAGCACCTGCAGGTACTCTACTTCGGCGACAGCTGCTGTGAGAGCCTGAGTCTCTCCCGCCAACGTGGAGGGAACCTTCCTCCTGAGCTTGCAGGACCGCCATCCCAGGATGGAGGCCTTGACGGAACGATTGTCCAGTAGTGATCTGTCGGTAGCCAGCACCATCCACGCGCCCTGCGTCGGATCAGCTGGCAGTCCCTTGTCATCTGTCAAATCCTCCGAAGCTCCGACACCGCCTGCGTCCGAGAAGGACACGAACGCCATACGGTCGGGGTCCAGCTTCCAGAGAATGATTCCTCTCGAGGCCGTTCCTCTCAGATGCTTGACGAGCTTATTAGCTAGTGCCACATCGGCCACGGTTGCTGCCTTCAGGCGGCTAGCGAGGATGCTCGCGATGCCAGCCGCCTCGGGGCGAGCCTCTCGGCCCACCCAGTTGAATTTGTACACCAGCGATCGTAGAGCTCGAAACTCTTCATTTTCCAGCAAACTACGCTTGTCCGAGAGGCGACCTCGGGCCAATGTCAAAGGACGAATCTCCTCCAGAATATACTTCTCCTGGTCCACGGTAGCTCGGTCGCTCAGGAAAGTCGCCCGACGGCCCGCAAAATCCACTGGGCCAGAATGACAATCACGATACTTGCCGAACTTGAATCGAGCCTCCAGCGTCTGTCGCAGCCAGGCTCGAGACTTGCTGTCCGAGCTCCCTATGAAGAAATCATCCACCTCGAGCAGCATCATGTTGAGTATCTGGCCATTCTTTCCGTAACGCAACCACCAGCAGGGTTCCAGAAGACTGCGAACGAACCCGTGACTCTCTAGATACTTGACCACTGTTTTTCGCCACGCCATGGGAGCATCGTCCAGCCCATACACGTTGACCAGTAGTAGAATCAGCGATCCAGAAGGTAAGCTGGTGCCGTCGCACGGTTCTACATATATGTGTCCCTGCGCTCGTGACATGGGGTCTGATTGACAGAAGGCGTTCTTCACATCTGCTATGTCACCTAGCATAGACAAGTTTAGCATAACCTGCATGAACATCATGATGGACGAGGTCTGTGGTGTGGGCGCATACACTGCTAGAGAGCCGGAATCTGGATCCCGATGGCCATGAACACACCACCTGGATTTAGCCGTCGGCTCCGTGAACGTGCCTTCCACCGGCTTCCACCTGCGGACCATCCGACTGGAGATGATACGCTCTGGCTGCTCTCGACGAATCACAGCTGCCTTTTCCGGGGGAATCACCTCAACAGCTCCTGTCTTCATGATACTCTCCATTTCCTTGCTGTCTGAAGCCCGAAACTTCTCTCGCTCTTCGGGACTGAGACGCTTCATGTTAACTTCCCCGGACCGCCCGGCGGCAAACACACCCCCATCCTCGAGACAGTCACCAGACCCTTCGGCCCCCTCCTGGCTCAGAGGCCTCACTCGCACTCCATGTCCTTCTGGCCGT